CATGAGCCCAAGCAAATAGTTCTTTTTTATTTTGTTAATCTCAAACATTTTGCCATGGTGATTAAAAGCTGACTAGTGCAATAATCCTTGCTGATTATGTCATTAAGGGGGGAAGTCACTTGAATAACCCTCAATGGTCACTATCCATACTGGGTCCAGTGTAAGGCTCAATGTGTCTCCAGGGAAAATTTCTGTGAGATGTGAAATAAACACTCAAGATCCTCTTCTCAGTCTCCAGTCCTCTTTGGTGAGTGGCTTTGTACTACTACAGCCTGCATTAGTTAACATTTTGCTTACACCAGTGGTATGAGCTAGTAATTATGAAACTATGTAATGGACATTCTAAAATTGAACAATTGAATTGCACTTAATGGGAGGAAATTTTCTCACTAAAAGAAAAGGGATATACATGAAAAAGAGAAAGCTAGCATGAATCTGGGTGGTGTTGGAATTAAATAGAGGGTATCAGAATAAACTCAACAGACAGACATGGGAACATTACAAATAAGACGTACATAAGAAACCAATAAAGGAGTTCTTTTACAAGGCCACATACTGGATATAAAAATTTGTATATAATCTTTATGTCATTAGCACCAGGAAGTGAATACAGATACTGAACACAGCAAGAAAGTTTCAGGCTGGAACTTTTAATCCTCCTGCCTCAGCCTCCCAGAGTGCTGAGATTACAGGTATTTGCCACCATGCCCAGCTCCTCTATATAAATTCTATAATTCTATAAAGATCTAAAAGTATACAAAAGCAAACACTGTATTTCAAACACTATTTTGGAATTTACAGTATAATGTGCAGCTGTAAAATTTATTCCAGGAGCATGAGTAATTGAAGGAGTTAAATTAAACTGTTTTGTAGTTATATTTTAACATTTATTCGAACAATACAGTGTTAGCTCTAAGTAGGTCATATGCTTTATGTCAAAGTTACATATTATAAACCCTGGAGTAATCACAAAAGATCCAAGTATGGTTCATTTATATGCTAAAAAAGAATGAAATTAAAGAAAAAACTAAGAATGCTCATAAATTCATAGTGATAAAACTCAGAAAATAACCAGCCCCAGTGTCCATCAATAGGAAAATGGGTGAACACATGAAAATATTGCAATGCATTTGCACAAAAGGATACTACTAAGCAATGCAAAGAAACACACAACCTAAACACCCACTCACCTGTGTCAATCTCATAAGTGTTGTACTGAGACATCAAATAATACACATTGTCTGATTTCAAGCAAAATGGGCCTATGGTGAAAAATAAATCAGAACAGTAACTTGTCTCTGTAGGAGGAAAAATTTTGCCTAGGAAGGAATACAAAAGAATTTGCAAAATGATTCTTAAATGAGGTGAAGGTTATATGGGTAAGTTTGTCAAAATTGTAGAGCCAAGATTTGTACCTTTCAATGCGTGTATGCCAGATCTCACAAAATGTAAAGAACTAAAAGATTAAGTGAAAGAGTGGGGCATAGGTTGATGTGTTAAAAAAATTTAAAAAGCACGATTATTAGATTTTGTGATCTGAGTAGTATGTCTATCATACTATCCTGTTTATTTTACACATACTTAAAAGTGTCTGTAATAAAACAATTTTTCAAAATACAAATTTGTCTGTTGGCTGTTAAGATCTTCATCAGCTTTGGGAAAGGAGGAATGAGGAAGTGATGAAAAGGGGATGAGTAAAGTCGGTTCTATTTTTTTGGTTATACAAGTGTATTCTATTTGCATTGATTATTTCGCTTTGCATGAGTGCTATGTATGTGTCTTTCTGTACATGTTTCACAGTGAGAAAAACTTAAATAGTAGATACTTACAGAAGATCCTACCTCAGTATCTCAGATTGACTACAGACTTACGTTCTCTTTTAAAGTGGGGCATGTTCACTCGTATTCTCATTAGACGGATGTTAATATTTTAAGGTATGTATTCATGTCCTAGTCCCTGAGTGACCTCCTAGGTCTGTTATTATTTGTCTGAATTTGATAGGGGGCATGGTTTTATTATTTTTGTATACAATATTTTACCCAAAAAATGCTCTCCTCTACAGCAGTGCTCACCAAGGCTGAGACACCCAGCACAAAGCCCAGAACACAGTAGGGCACATATGGGACCAGATTAGTTCAGGAACCAAATGGGTAGTAGAGGTTGAGTCCAGCAAAACATGGTAAGTTCATAATATATGTAAGATCGGAAGGCTATGTCAGCAGCAAATGCTTAACATTCATTTAAGAAGCCTCTTGAAAGGAGTTCAACAAAGATATTCATTTAAAGCAATAGTATTTGGGCTTAGCCTCACACTGAACAGCTTTGATTAGTTAAAACCAAAGAATAACTCAAAAATACATTCAGCTGCTTGGCTGAATTGCAGCAAGAGGAAATGTGTTCTCAGCATACACTTTGTGTGTCTTTATGCCACGTGCTTTCAGAGTAAGGTATTGTTTCAAGCCAAGTAATTTGACTTTGTATTGCAAATCATAAATAGTCAACAAATACCAAAATGATTGAAAAAAATTGCATGCCTGTGGAGTGCATTATATGTGCTTTCCAAGGTCTCCTATAATGATAAATGAAAAATGCGTGGTTGTTACCACATTCCCTAAATTCAGTCCTCAGCCATTTCCCATGATTTATTCCAAGTCCTTCCAAGATGCTTCAGAGGCATTATTTTAAGGAGATCATTTCCAATGGTAAAGAGTACTAGATGAATATGAATCCTGCTTTTTTTTTAAATAAGTGTCTTTATATAAGTCCTCAAAGGATGAGGTGTTCCAGTGGAGGTATTTAACCTTTGGAGTCAGGTGGAGTTGATCCATGGTCCTAACCAGTTGCTTTCTAGTTGTGCAACTTTGGAACAAGTTTCTTGAATTGAAACAGTTGTATAAACCTCATCTATAAGGAAAGGCAGAATGATACTGGTGCAAACGATGCTTTCCTGCATCATTCTTCAGGCTTTCCTGCATCTGTGGCCTTGGCAATATATTTTCACTGTTGTTATCACTAGAGCAGAAACTGTTCTATAAACTTTAAATCTGTGCTGGCCTTATTCACTGTGGCTCATATAAAGTTGTGACTATAAAAGTCTACTAGTTCAGTACCTAGGGTGGAAAGGTCTTAAATGTGTTGGCTATTTTTCTCAGAACCCTGACATTTCCATCTATGAAAATTAGCCCACATTAGCTTCCTGGAGAATGGAATATCACAGGGAGGAGAAGCAGGGTGCCCTAGTTGCAGCCAGATTACCCTCTTAAATTGTCTCCTTGGAAACCAGCAGGGAAGCACACAATTAGAAGGAAACCAGCTAAGCCCAGCCTAAATTGTTTATCACTCCAATCATGAGCTACCATAAAAAGTTTTAGAGCTTTAGAGCTGCTTCTTAGCCAGTGATAGATAACTAGTATGCCCACAATAGGCAGGATGCCGGAATTCAGTGACATGGGTTATCTGACAAGTTAGCTGGCAAACAGTAGTGTTCCTATAGGTACAGATCTCTTCTTAGGTGGTTTCAAATTATACGGAACTACATATAGACATGTATACCTATGATAGGTGAGTAAATCATACAGAATTACACACCACAGGAGAAAACAGACATCCACAGTCTGATGGTTAGGCCCAAGAACAAATTCTAAAGCAAGAAATTTCCCTTTATTTAAACTCTGTAGTTCAAGTCTGTGTATAGATCTGAAGACAAGGGTTTCTCATCTCCTGTGTCTCCATCTCTCTTTGTTTACTGTCTGAACTCTGAATGGAGGATGGACTAGCAGGTGGAAAGCAGTCATTTATCTTTGGAAACTTTTTTTTTTAATCTTCAGGCCCAGGAAGAAATATTGGTTAAACAAAGTGCATTCCCTTACCTTTGACATAAATAGGAAGTGATTCAGGTCCTTTACCTCTCTGGGGTCAGGGGAGTCATTAATCATGAAACTGGGAAGTGGGTGCTCTGAACTGAAATATTCTAGAGCCATGAGTTCTGAAAATGTAGCCTAAAAATATGTGTAGGTCATTAGTATATTGATCACATATAATAATGATGATAATTTTTGATATGTCAGATTATTGCAACCAATTTCACCTTTTAAATTTTCTGTCATGGCACTGGGGATTGAACCCAGGGACTCACCTAAGCAATTGCTCTGTCACTGAGATACACTCTAGCCCTTTCACTTTGTTTTTTTGTTTGTTTTTGAGACAGCCTCTTGCTAAATTGCCCAGGTTAGATTTGAATTTGCACTCCTGCCTCGGTGTTCTGAATTATAAGCCTGTGCCACCACACTCAAACCAATTTTTGTTTTATAAATATGATTTCACTTGAGCAGTGAGGCTTTTGCTAGGCCTTTAAATTTTAACCCAAGGCTAAAGTGGCTGGCCCTAGTTCCAGTGCCACAGAAGCACGCAGCACTGGAAATGTGCTTTTCTCTGCCCAGATCCTCCAGTCCACACAGCTGTCCGACAATGGGAACTCCTAATTTTTTAAAACATGTAGATGCCATAAAATTTAAAAATACACTGTGCCTCACTTGATATACATTAGACATTGCTACTTCAGAGGATTGCTTCCCATTTCAAAGCTCAAGCTGCCTCCTAGCAAGACCAGAGACCAGAAAAGTTAAGTGAAATTTTAAAATAATTGTCACATTGTTCCTATTTGTGAATAATACATACGTAATTTATAAATTGATATGCGCTCATATACAAGGTAAAAATGCAAATGTCCCCCCCTGGCCTGCCAGGAGGAAGCCCTTGACTTTATAAATAGATGCAACCAGAGGCTCTGAGTTCCTTCTCCAACGAAACAAAAGCCAAAAAATAAACAAAATAAAATCAAATGACATAAAAATGCTGCAGTCAACAACCTGCCAGTCTGGCCTTATTGTGCCATAGGTTAGATAGCATGTTCTGTCACTCAGGACCCAGGGCACAGCCTGAATCTCTGTCCAATCAGCGACCCTGGCCTGAGAACTGCCCAATCAGGCCTTCAGCCGGAGAGGAGGGGGCGGGCTTTCCCATCGCAGAGGCCTTCATCTCCGGAGCTGTCCGGTCTGGGATCGATAGTGATAGTCTGGCACCCGCTCCTTTGCTCTAGAACCCCTGGGGGCTGTAATGCAGCCCTTTTGCTCCGTGACCTGCAGAAGCTGGGAGATCCCTAGAGAGACACTCCAGAAGCCAAGACATGGTGAGTTTGTGGGGCCCAGTGTCCTGAGCCTGGGTGGGGGTGGGGGTGGGGGTAGGGGGAGAGGCTGCTTGCATCCAGCTCGAACTGGCTGTGGTGTGACCTGGTGTCTCTCTGATCGGCTCTGGAGTGTGCAGATCGAGTCCTCCTCTGGGGGCACCTTGGCCTTCGGTCCCTTCTGGTCTGTGAAGCCGGCCAGCAGCTGGAACTCTGTGATTTCTGTTCCATCCCTCTGAAGCTACTTCAGCCCCTGTCAGCAATCCTTACTGGTCAGCTCTGCGAATGCAGCTGTGAGTTTCCCTAGATGCTGTCCTGACTACTGGGAGGATCCTTAGAGAATCCCGACTCCATGTGAGGGATTCCTTAGGAGAGGAGCTACTAGCTGTGTGGTCCCTAGTTTCCCCTGTAAAATGAAATGTCGCCATTTGCTACTGAGCTTTCTACATGTACAGCAAGCAGGATCTCACAGCCCTGTCCACCCTGCTAGCCTAGCTCCCCCTGGGTTTGGCAGTAACTTTCTAAAATCCCAGCTTCCTTCCTGCATTCCTAAAGGCCAACTTCCCCTGTCCACATTATCAACTATTTGTTTCCCATGATACATTTCAAACAAACATGGTATTTTGTCATTATTTTTTTTGAAATACTGGGTAGCGCTTTTTAAGAATTGGATTTCTGTTTGTGAACATTTCACAGGAGAGGAAAGTGGAATAGAATAACAACCCTTTGTAAAAGAAAAATCTTTGGGATTCTCCTCTTTTTGTTTTTCATAGACATAGACATCTTAGCAGAATGCTTTTGGGTTGAATCTCACCCTTGGGGGCTTTACAGAGTGATGTCTTCTCAGCCCTCCATCTTTCCCAGGTCCTGGGTTTTAGAAACACCTGACACCGGCGGTTGACATCAGGTGCCTGCAGCTCCAGTGTCTGTTCCCTAGGAGTCTGGTGTATATCAGCCCTAGGTCCTCTCCTCCTTGACAACATCATAAAGTGGGTGTGGAGCTTTTCAGGGGAGTCGCTGGATGCCCCGGGACTATCAGGAATCTCCTAATATACACTTCATCTGTGATGCCTTCAAATCATTTTTGTATCTTGGCTACTGAGAATAGTGCTACAGTGAACAGAGACACGCACTATTTGGCATACTGATTTTAATTCATTTGGATACATACCCAATATCATGACTGCTGCCTCATGCTCTATTTTTAGGGTTTTTTAAAGAACTTCCATATTACTTTGCAAATGGCAGCACTAAATTTATATTCTAACCAACAGTGTACAAGAGTCCCCTTTCTTCAATATCCTGTACAACATCTGTTAGCTTTTACCTTTTTGATGATAGTCATTCTGACAGCAGTGCTCAGGCTCCAGGATGTCAGCTGTTTGAAACATTAAATCCGTGATGCAAGTTAATTTGAATCCAGACTGTGGAGCAGCCACTGGACAAGTGTGCTTTAACTCTCTTCTTGGAATAGCCAGGGATTGGTGCTTTATAACTCCTTCTCTTCCCTACTTCTGAGGGTTGCAGCCCGTGGAAGTACTTACACACCCAATGAAAACCTCGTTTGTCTTTTATGTAGGGAGATTTGCACATACGGTGTCTCCTTTGCTCCTAGAGCTTGGAGGCTTAGGATGTAGTCCTCAAATGGTAAATGTTAGAGTTGGGACACTTGTGCATGAATAACTCCTTCCAGGAGGATTTAGTAGAGCTGGAGGTATTATTTGTAATGGCCTCAGGGAAAGGAGTCTAGAAATGCTGAGTTCCCATTCAGCCTGCTGGACCTCTATAATTTTTGCCCTATAAATTCCCTGATGCATACTAAATAAAATTTCAACTGTCAGCAACAGTAGTTGGCACAGTATGTGGCAAATCTCTTCCTGGGAAAAACTGGGACCTTTGCATTTTAACACATTCTCTTCCCTGGTGCAGGATAACGAAGCACAAGGAAGTACTTGTATGACCATAGGAAACCAGTATCTCCAAATGTGCCTCAGCTTTCCTAGTCATTTGATGTGGCTGTTTTTTCTTCTTTTTTGTTCTATTAATAGCACCATATTTGCCATACATTATGGATGCATGTACATACTTCATTTTAATGCTTTTTAACTTTCCACCCACGCCATTGCTCTCCATCTCAAGTGTGCCTCACCTTTCCTACTCTTTCGATGTGGTTCTCTGTCAGCAGCAAGTCTCTTACCTCATGTATGACTTTCTTTCAGAAGAGCTAGAAACATAAGTAGATGTTTATTCAGTGTGCCCACAGAGGGAGGGAGAGTCAGGAGCCTTCTGCTCTATTTCCATTGTCACATCTTGTTAACTCATCCTTTCATGAGTGTGCAGAATTGAACCCAGAGCCTCATACATTCTGGGCATGCACTCTAAAACTGAGCTATGCCCCAGCCCCACCATCTGCCTTTTGATTGTGTTGTTTAATCAATTCATTTTTTATGTTATTCTTCACAGGGTTGGGTTTTCTATAGGCCTTTCTGCAACTCTTAAAATAAATAATTCCTTATATCCATAGGGATTTGCTTATGGATTTTGTTTTTATTGTGATCAGTCTGTATTATTGCAATAGTATAATTGCACTATATGCATTAGTGTCAAGTAATGGTAGCTACTCCTGTTGTTCCTATAACTCAGAAGTTTCCTTGTTAAATATCTTTGTATAAATATCTATGTTTGTGTCTGTACAAATATCTATATTTATCCCTATGTTTTTTAACTTTCAAGTGAATTTTTAAATTTTTTGGTTTGTTCCTTTCTTCCACCAAGAAATTAAACATACAATTTTGGAAAGATACTATAGATTAATTTGAGAACTCACCTTTGTAATGGTGAGTTTTATCATCTACAAACATGATGTATGAAACTGAGTCTTTAAATTTTTATTATATCATAAATTCTACATGTCTCCTTTTCAAACATGTATCCTTGTGACATATCACATGCATGTGACACCCATATAAAACTTAGATGGCTTGTTGTACTTTTTGTTAAACTGGATGTAAGAAAGTGCCTCACACTTTGTTATCTATCTCTTCCTGAATGTACCTCCTCTTTGCCCACCCCCTGGATTTCATTCTTAGATTTAACGCTACTGTCTCTTTACATTACTTTTATTTTAATGTAGTATGATTTATGAATATTTTCTTTTTTATTGTTTTGTGTTATCTTGAAAAAAAAACTACTTTATCCTATTAAAACTTTTAAATGTTTTATAATTAGTTTTTGTATTTAAGTATTATTACCTCAGAAAACAATTTATTATGTAGAATGAGGAAAGGATACAATTACATTTTTTTTCACATTGATGTCCATTGTTTGAGTAGCTTTCATTGGAAAGGTTATTTTTTATTTTTATTTTTTTTGGTACCAGGAATCAAACTCGGGATCTTGCGCTTGCGAGGCAGGCACTGGTGGTTATCTTTTTTATTACTTATCTGCAGTGCAATCTTTGTCATTTTGGGGGGTGGGTACCAGGGATCGAACTCAGGATCTTGCTCTTGTGAGGCAGGTGCGGCACCCCTGAGCTAACTCCCTGGCCCTAATCTTTGACATTTTTAAGTGTTCAAAAGGCGAGAATTTTGTAAAGGTTTTGTCTTCAGTTCGACAAGTTTACTTACTCTTGTCTTTGCACAGCTTTATGATATAGTCATGCTCTGCACAATGACATTTTGGTCAGTGAGGGCCTTCATATGTGACAGTAGCTGTAACAGCTGAGGTGTGTAGCAGGTTTGTGTTAATATATGTTACATCAAGGTTTGTGGTAATAGATTCTGTGATGTTTCCACAAGGATGGAATCACCTGCTAATGAATTTCACAAAGGCATTGCTATTGTGAAGTGAGGCGTGACTGTGTATATACATGTATACGTTCCAATTATATAATATATAATTAATATATAATTTTCCTTATCAATTTTTCAGAGTTCTTTCCATTTCATTACTGTTTTATTTTTACCATAGAAAACATATATAATTTATTAGATGGACATAAAAACCAGTACAGATCAGTTTTGGTTACCTCTTGAATACAGACTATGGGAATTTTCTGCCAAAGAATAGCATATCTAGCAGGCAATGCCATGAAAATTTAGGTTTTAGTTTTTAGAACAATACCCACTGGCAAGACAATTGTAAGAAATGTTGTGTAAGCAATCTAACAGTATCTTATTACTGTGTTTTAAAGAACCAACATTTGACATTGCTTGTACTCTCTAGGTATGTTCATTTACATTATCTTTGAATTTTGCTTTTTGACTTAGCAGTTTCCTCTACTTTCCTATTTATAAAATTTGCCTTATCTAAACTATCAAGAATGATGATTAACTAATGAGCTCTTAGTCTTTTTTTACTATGCCTATTAAAGCTGATGTTTCTTACCTTCAGCATTCGATCCATCTTAGTCTATTTACAACTTTATTGACATACATTAATCTTCATTACAAGATGTGATTGAACAATAAGGTGAATATTACATTTTTATTGCAATAAAAGCCACATTCCCATTAATTCCCCTCAAAATACTCCCATCACTTCAAATAAACTTTGCCCATCATCCTTGCCACTTTCTGAAGCAGTTTTGAAGTCCTCTTTCATGTCTTTAGTTGTGCTGATGTGGTTGCCTCAATGTCCTAAATCAATTCAAAGCATTTACCTTTCATGAACATTTTGACTTTGGGGAAGAGCCAGAAGTCACACAGTGCCAGATCCAGAGAATAAGGAGGAGGAGGACCCACCGCAGTGTTTGTACAAGCCTGCCTTTCCCTTGGACGGCACTGGGCAGCAGCATCCACTGTATTTTTGTTCCCACCTCATGTAGACGGTTCCCCAGAGTGCAGTCAAGAGCACAGGTTAGGGCCTGCACCTGGCCATAGTTCCGTCCTCTGTTCTGCATCCGGGTTTGACTCTCCCCCTTGAGCTCATCTGGGTTTGGAGATCTTGGAAATATTTCCTCTTTATGATTTCAGAGGCTGTGCACCCTGCCTCCCTTTCCCATTTTC